TACTTAAAATACATGGACCAATTTCTAAATAACAGAAACCAGTAGTTTGAGAATAATGGACTAATGTAAAGGTTTGATTTTTTTCCTCTGCCATGAAACCTCTGGGGAGTTCAAGTATCAAAGAATATGCCAAGTTGGAAGGAACCCACAAGGATCATTGAATCCAACCCTTATCCCTGCACAGGACCATCCCCAAGAGTCACACCATGTGCCTGAGAGTATTGTCTAAATGCCTTTTGAACTCTGTCAGGCTTGGTGCTGTGACCACTTCCCTGGGGAGCCTGTTCAAGTGCCCAGCCACCCTTTGGGTGAAGAACCTTTTTCTATTATCCAAACTAAACCTCCCCTGACACAATTTCAGGCCATTCCCTCAGATCCTGTCACTGGTCATCACAGAGAAGAGATCAGTGCCTGCCCCTCCTTTTCCCCTCACAAGGAAGTTGTGACTGCAATGAGGTCTCCCATCAGTCTCCTCCAGGCTGAACAGACCAAGTGATCTCAGTCGCTCCTCATCTGGCTTCCCCTCAAGGCCCTTCACCTTCTTTGTTGCCCTCCTTTGGACACTCTCTGATAGCTTAGTGTCTTTCTTATATTGTGGTGCCCAAAACTGCACACAATATTCAAGGTGAGGCTGCGCTAGTGGCAGAGCAGGACAATCCCCTCCCTCCACCAGCTGGTGATGCTTTGCCTGATGCCCCCCAGGACAAGGTTGGCCCTCCTGGCTACCAGGGCACTGCTGACTCATATTCAACTTGCCGTCGACCAGGACCTCCAGGTCCCTTTTCATGGCACTGCTTTCCAGCAACTCATTCCCCAGTCTGTACAAACATCTGGGGTTGCCCCACCCCAAGTGCAGAATCTGCATTTGTCCTTGTTGATTGCCCAGAAGACAAAGAACGTATTGATCCTCAGAGCTGTTTCTATGTTATGCTTGCAGAAGTCTATTTTATTGTTCATCATCTAAATAAAACATCAGTGTAAATTATTTAAATATACTCTAAAGGCTCTGATATATTGTGAAAAAGGCTGTCTAAAGTGGGAAATACAGATTATTTTATATGTCACTTTGAAAACAACAATAAATTAATTCCATCAGTGTTCATAAGATCTGAAAATTAATTAATAAGCCAAAAATTTCCATGTATTGCAACTAAAAGCATTGGTTTAATCACAGAACCATAGAACAGCACTGGTTGGAAGACATCTCACCTGGTCCAACTTTCTAGTGCTTCATTTAGCACCATGTCTAGTCACATCTGGAAGACCTCCAGTTGTGCACACCCCACCACATCCCTGTGGATGTTGTTCCAGTGACTGATTGTTCTCACTGTAAAAAATGTCTTTCTTATATTGAGATGAAATGCGCACACTTTTTTCCATTTAGCATTGTGTGTATAAAGCCCATTAAAATTATGAAAGGTTTTGGACAATGGATGTTTCCTCAATTTTCAAATTTTCAAAATTTACTTTAAATACCATATTGGTCATACACAGTTGGTCTTATATAATGCAAATAATAATGTTATGCAAATGCATAATGTTGGTAGCATTGGATTTGTAGAAGGTTATGGCTTCAAATATAAGTAAAAGCTTCAGCTTCATGGTATTAATTAGCAAAAGCTGATGTACTACTTAATGCCAAAAGTGTATCCTTTTGACTGTAGTGTGGTAACTTGAGACAAACAAACCTGCTAGGGCTTGGAAACATTCTTCTCAGGGAGTTTTTATTTGTTTATGAGCTAAGAGTCTCTTTTGCAATGGGCTCTGCAAAAGTTTACAGCCCAGAGAGGACTGGGAGAGAGCACAAAACAAGCAGTGCACAAATATGTACATGGAAGGCAGAATGCCTTAGCAGTGGCAGATGCAGCCACTGCTAGGAGGTGAAGGAGTTATCTACAGTTGTCACCTTCATTTGTGCTCCACATGGAGCAGCTGGAGCTACTGGTCTCACTGCATAAAAGCACCAGTTGAAAGAACTTGCAGGAAGTTGCTATCAGGTCTAGCATAACCCTGGCAGAAAAATCTTTTTTCCCCCTCAATGCTCCTTTTTGCTTTTTGGGATTCATTTGACTGGAGGGTCACCTTACAGTCCAGACTTCAGATATGAAACACCTAGGCCACAATCTTGCAAAGCACTCATGTATTTTTATTTACCCACATAAATGCTTCCAGGGCCTCCTAGGAATAAAGATGGCGAGGAAAAGTTTTGAAGTATTGTTTGTTATGTGTAAAAGGAGGAGCTGAAAAAGTGTCAGAAACAGATGTATAAATAGCACTTTAGCTTTGAATTGAGAAACATGTGCAAATCTCCAAGTTATGACACTGGCTAAAGTAGCATAAAATTGGAGCATGAGAGAAGAGCGAGGCTATGCAGTGACACTGCAGTTCTAAGTGCCGATTTCATGCCCTCTCACAGAACTGCCTCTCACCTTCTCTGAAAGGTCCTGCTGGACTCAAAACTCAGCCAGAAATGTCTAGCTTTTGCTTGCTCTGGCATTTGCCCCTGTGGCTGATCCTTTCTTTAGAGTGTACAGACAGGCACCCCTGGCACCTCTACTTCCTTGCCACCCTGCTGAGAAGAGCCAAACTAAGCAAACTGAAAGAGAACTGAAGCATCTCTCTGGAGCCAGTTATTGCCATTAACTCTGGTTTTCAGCAGAGAAGCAAATAATGTTTGGCAAACATTTCATCTGGGTCCTGTTATAAAAGAAACAAACAGGCTTGTATTGCTTTGAAGTGCCCTTGTGCTGTCCCCATTCCTTCTTAAGTGAACCCAGATTTCCACACAGATGGTGACAGAAAATCATTAGCACTTTTATGGAAAACTCCTCTGAAACCTGTATCAAATTCATCCCTATTAGGTTCTCATTTCTAACTTGCAAGTAAGACATTGCTTGGTTTCTTCCATATTTTATTCCAGTTCAACTGAATTTGAAACTTATAAGTGAATAGTTTCTTCATTCCTTTGAGGTAGTCCAAGGTCTTGAGAAAACCTTGAAAATACTTTTGTTCATCCAGCAAAAAGAACCTAAGCCCTGTACACTTTGGATGCTTGGCTTCTGTTTAAGAATTTAGGATTTTATGAAATCTCATTGATTCTGTACATATTTAATACAACTCCTCAAAATCTTCACTGTTTTTTAGCAAGTACTGGACACTCATATATGAATTAAAGAATCTCTGGGCTTAAAGTCTGCTTTGTTCTGGATTCTTCATACAAATTGAGTGAGGCAACTTTTTTGGTATTATTTTTTATTGAAGAAAATTTTCACCCGTGTATAAAAATAAATTCACTCTATGTTCTTTTCCACAAAGGGTATGTTTTTAAACTCTTAACTAAGTTTTTCAGTGTGGTGCATATATATATACATGTGTATATATTTTCTTAAAACATTTATAATTCCTTTCATTTTAGTAGCCATTAGATTTGCTTTAGTAAATGCTAAGCAAGCTAACAGGCTACATGTTGAAGAGATACTTGCTAATGATTTGGAAAAAATAAGGAATTCAATAAACCATTTGAATTGTTTGCAGTTTCTGTGGAGATCATCTGAGCCATTTCAGTTCAAAAAGCTTTTCAAAAACATTCATTATATTACTGTGTCCAAGTCTAAAGAATCCACAGAAAAAATTTCAGAAACAGATTGATTATCAACATGTTTAACAGGTTTTTTGTTTCAAGACTTGGATGATTATGTGCATGAGTCTTCCTCAAGTTATTTGGCAAAAACACTTTCAAAGATTACGATCATTTGTAATCATCTACCAAAAGGACTCAGAAACTATATATGTAGTACAACTGCACTTGAAATAAAAGTGCTCTTCAGTCATTAAGAGAAAACAAACAACAGAGATATACTTAAAAAAGAAAGTGATGGAGTTTCCAAAGAAACTCCCTTTGTTCCTTTGCAAGTATGGACATCTAGTAACTTGTTTTGCTGTGCAGAAGGTTGAGATTTGAAGTTTAGGTACAAATGAGGCAGTATTTCTGTCCTTTACATTTGTGCATATTTCCAGTTGTAGGTGAGAGAAGTCTTTCAAATCAAAACTGAGGATGACTGTACCCAAGAGGATCCCATAGAAAGATCTACATTCTCCTTCAGTAGTTAATTGTGTCTGGAACTCACAGCATAAACTCACATGCACATAGCACAGATTTGGTAAAAAACCTGCACCCCTTGAAACCCCCTTGAAATCTATTTGGAAACGTTATCTGTGTGAGTCACAAATGTACGTAACTGCAGTTAGTTTTAAGTGCTGAGCTGAGAGAGAAGGGAAAATATACGCTGCGTTGCCGAATTCTACAGAATGACTTGCATTCTACACAAGGACACAGGACAAAGTGTTTATTAAAATAAAAAGCTTTAATACTTTTGCATTTAAAAGATTTAGCAGAAATAATTGCTACAAACATGCTACAACATACATGTTCAAAAAGTTTTCAGTGCTTTCTTTCAAAGTTCAGCATTTTGGCAAAAATAAGTTTTTCTGTATATACTTCAAAAGTTGGTTATCATAATACTGATATAAAATACTTCATGTAGACTAAGGTCAGGTGCATAAAATACAATACGTAATAAAACATACTGTTTGTATAAACATTTAAAGTATAAATTTAATTAGATAACATGCAAATACTGCAATATTTTAAATGGCACTTAAATATAGATACTGAGATTCTTTATAATTTTGCATCCAATATGAGATTCTGAAATGTACAAAACTATAAAAAGAACATATCTCTTCACTGAAGTCAGGTACTAGCATAGAGCTTGATTGTCATTTTACAAGCAGTGAGCCCAATGTCTTGCAAGTCTTCACTAGTCCAAGTAAAGACATCTACTGAAATAGGCCCAGGGCTAGTTAGTTTCCTTCATAATAAAATATGAAAGCATATTTACATGAGAATAAACTCTTAAATTTTTGGTAAGGTAATTAAGTAGCAGCAATCTGTTTCTTCCAAAAATGATGTTTAAAATAGGTGCATGCTTTTCATTGTCACTGGTATGCATCTGAATAATACAAAATTAACATTCTTTAGTAAACTCAAAACACTGTTTTGTTCATTGTTGAAAAAGCCCTCTGAGATTCCTTCTTACAAAAACCACAAATCCATAATGTCAGAACGTTCCAGACTATATTTGTTTCCAAGATCAATGGAAAACAATCTAATTGTGCTGAAACAGTCATCTGACTAGTAATGAATAAGAGAATCATCTTTTCACATTATTCAAATACTTCTAGTTCTTCATTGAAAAACACAAGTTCATCAGATCTTCTACGATTTTTGTTTTCTGGTTCATTGATCAACAATTCTGAATGTCCTTCACAATATAAACGCCACAATACTCATGCATATTTTCCAAGCAGTTATATATAATATATTAATGCTGACAAGGTAAATAAAAGGCTTAGGAACAGGGAGTGCAGAACAGGCACCACTTGAACAGATGGAGAAGAAATGCTAAACGAAACTTGTACTTGAGATGCAATTAGAGCTGACAGCGGCACGTGTGATGCTAATGTTGGACTGTCTGAATTTATCAGTGACTCTATCTTTTCTGCTTCTTTATTGCAGGCTTCAATCTGTGGGGAAAAAAAAAGTTGCTATTTCTCTTCTTACCACGTAAAATGCCAGTGTGAAAATGTTGCTAGATAGCAAAATTCAGGAAAGAAAATCTGAGTTATTCCCATCAGCACATAAGATTTACATTGTTTTGGGGAGTATTTATTAGAAAACATAGCGGAGCTCTTATCATAGTCCTTGGTGTGATGAAAACTTCTGTGGAAGCCCTGAGTAGCAGCAACGGAAAGGAACGAAGCCATATACAAGTTATTGTGGGTGATGTGTTTTGAATGTTGATGCCAAAAAACTCACAGTAAATTATAACTAAGGTAAGTACCCTCTAAAACTGAGGACTTCCTTCCTGAGAGACCAAGATACTGCCTTGAAGTCTGCAACAGTGGAAAAATCTGGATTTTCTCCTTATTAGGCTTTTTCTTCCAAATCAGGGAAAACTGATTTCTTTTACGGGAAGGGAAGAGAAGAATAGAAGTAATATGAAAACCTGAGAAACCTCAGGTTTCCATTCCCCCACTGACATGATGGTAATGAATTTTCTAACATAAATTCATTTTTTTTCCACTACTTTCTACTTCACCCCAGGAATGACTTTAATACTAAGGCTCTTTAACAGCTTTGGAAGCCACCTCTGGTGAAGTTTAAACTTGACAAACTTAGTATCTGGAAGTCCAAAGCTTTGAAAGTTGAGAAATGTCTAGCTCAGCAATGGGTACCACCATTGAAATGAGCAGCTCCTCCCTGCTTTTGGGTGGCATCTCTGATTTCAGAGTCCTCACCCCAGGAATCTGACAGCACTTGCTACAGTTGGAGTGAGAGCTGTCCATTCTAGTAAGTCCTGGTAACATTTTGGGCTATTTCTGCTAAAGGAGGAGACAGAAATTGTAGTTGAGTTGGATATAACAGGGTTGCTCTGGTAACATGGGCAATCAAAATACACACAATGTATCTTCCTGAGAAACAAGCACCATTGTATATGTGCAAAAATGAAGTAAATCCATGCTGAGTAAACAAAATAATAATGTAGTCTACCTGCAATGGTTTGGGGTTCTGATCCACAGGAATGATGAGAATCACAATTTCTGATTCTATGCTTAAATATCCAAACACATCACACTGTGGCACTGACACATGCAGGCGGATTTTTTCAAGAATGTCAAGTACTGTTATCGGCTTTTTATTTGTTACCTGGAAGAAAATAAAGAACTTTGTGGATGATGTGATATTATGGAAAATTCTCCTCCTCAGTTTCAACAACTTGATGTCATGCCAGAAAACTTGTTTCAGCCATTATACTCAGTTCTAAACTCTACCCTAAATGCTACCAAAAAGCAAAACAATTCAATGATTCTAAAATATAATTCTAGAAAATTATTCTGATTCTAAAAAAAACCTCCAAAACCAAACCACCTGAAAACATTAAAAGAAAAAGTTAAAAGGAAGAAAGGGGGAAAATATTTACTTCTTAGATTAACCATTGTTTTGGTATGTGTTGTTCTCCACCTTCATGGTTAGTGTGTCTATGTATCATGTACCTCAAAATAATATAAATGGTTATCTGTTACAGCAACTTGTGCTCCCGTGCTGGGAAACAAGAGGCAGAGCAGTCCTGCCAGCTGGCACTGCTTTACAGCCTCAGAACCTGTTCCAAGAGTCACCAGAGATGGAGAGCTTTGTGAGGACAGATATATGTCTGTACCTATGGGAACCTGTGACATTTTAAGTTCAGTACTTAACTACCAGGTAAATGCATTTTTCTCTTAAAATTTTTTTCTCTGTTCTCTTGTCTGTATCTGACAAACAATAATTTGGTTGTAGATGCTCAGTCTAAGGACTGCTACACCTTAAAGCTTTTTCCCAGATCACTTATGAATGTGTTTTACGGATGTGTATATAGACACCAACACAAACACTTCCCTTGTCACTGGTCATTTTGTTGTGTTTTGCTTTCTAGCTTTAGCTGCAAGAACTCAATCCTTCTTATTCTACTGTAGCTTTCTTTCTTTTCAGATCACTGGTACAGGACCTTAACAAGTGGAAATCTGGGAAATCCAAGTAGATTATATGAATCAAATTTTTAAGGTGTCATACAACATTTCTTTTACCAGATTTTTGAGGGGTTTCCTTGTCCATTAAAATCCTGTCTGACATGCTGATTAATCAGCACACCTTGTTCAAACAGTCTTAAAACAGAAGCTCAGGGATACTTTAAGAATGACTGATGGTGTCAAACTTGTATTTTACTGTCTTAGTTTAGAAGTCTAGTAGATTAGAATTTTAGTAGATCTCTAATGTTTCTTTGCTCTGTGATCATGACTTTTGTTTCTTGATATCTTTACAAAAAACAGCCAGAGGGGTGGGGAAGGAAAAAAATAGTCAAATTTACATAACTCTTTAGTATTTGAAGCATTTTTTTCTCCCATGAACCAGATGTCTGAACTAAAAGAGGCATGCATGACTACTTTTTCCAAAGGAAAGAGCTTCAGCCAAACTTACGTAATTTTTAGTCAGTGCTAAGATTCTCTTGACTCTTGAATGATTACTTGCATGTTTGAGAGATCACATACTTTAAATGTAAAGATACAGGTATACATTTTAAATATATGAGCTGTGAAAACTTGAAGAGTGTGTATGGTGGCAAGAGGTGACCAAGAGAAAAGAGTCAGCAAGACTGTGGTGACAAAGGGAAGTAAAAAAGAGGGGGGAAAAAGAAGAATAAAACCAATGTTCAAACTAAATTTTTCTGTGATTTTACAATAATAGCTAATTATCTATGTTGCAAGCATATAAGTGGGTTAATGCAATTCTATACTGTTCTGGAAAAATTCTCATTCTTCTTGGTATTTAAAAAAATGAAAATCATGTGCAGATACAAACAGGAATTGTTTTGCTTCACCAGGCATAATCATCATATTATTCTGTTATGATGTCATGACACAAGTCAATTGATATGCTATGTTCTGTACACTGAAGCATAAAAGCAGGGGTCAATAAAGTGCAATCCTTTTATACACCACATGGGGAGTGTCTGAGCCCACGATGGTGTGTTCAGTGACAGACAATCAACATCAGATCAGTCTTGTGCTGAAGCTTTTCTAAGAGCAGCAATAAAGAATGCTGGAGCCTAACTTATGGAGATGTTTAATTAAAATCCAGCAGTTTAGCTGATGAGCAACAAAATGAGTGACAACTATCTAGGTAACCAAAGAGTGTAAACAATCGCATTTAAACATAAGAAAATGTCAGAATTAAGTTACCTACATTAGGAAATAGTGAGCTAGCAGAATAAACTTAACAAAAAGGCCATAGATAACAAATATACACCGTATTACTACCGTGAGATAGATGCTGTTCCCATATCATTTCTCCACACTATTACAAGACGTATAAACTGCAAACCTGAGTCTGCATGTTTATGCCTATTCTAATTCTGTTTTGGTTTGCATTGTAATTCAATTTATACGCCTCAGATAAAAAAATGAAGGGAAGTATAAAGCAGTATAAAGGAAAAAACCACCCAATCACACACTAACTACTGAAAAATAATGGGGTTTATGATGTGTTAACCTTCCAGGAGAAAGTATACAGTAACTTTAATTTTGTACCATTTAACATTAGGCATGATTAAACTGTTTACCCTTGCAAAATTATCCAGCTTGTCTTTGTCATATAAGATTCTCAGCATTCCAGCACATAGTGGACAGCAGGCTCCTATGTGAATACAGAAGAATCTCAGAAATAAAAGCAAGTAGTGTTTTCACTTTTAAGTAAGCAGGAGTCAAAATTTGAATATTAACTGAGAATGAAAATAGCAGAACTACCAAAGCAACCTGTTTCAATTTGATAGCAGAATTGCACATTTCTAATATTTTTTCATACTAAAAACATTTATAATGCAAAAGCAGTCACCTTTCAACACACATTTACTACTATCAACATGAAGAAACAAGTCGAATTTTCATTAATTTCAAGATCATTCATTATTTTAAGCTGAAAACTGAAGGCACTTTGTGTATCACAAGCTAAGATTTTGTATGGATGCATGCATATACAACTACAGAAATTATGGATTTCAAGAGCTGATATAGCTAGGACATGACTGTGTATTAAATTCACTCCTCAACTTATTATATATAATTCACATTCACAGAGTGACTTTTACAATACTAAAAGTAATACCAAAGCAAAAAGACCCTTTTTCAAAGGGAATGAGAAAGATGAATAAAGCTCTTTCTTTTTAAAAACGAAGCTTTCCTTGCTCTGTGTATTACCTATGAGTAATTGTTGTTTTATAAAGGAGGTATTTGTAAAAACAATAAAAATCCAGTTCAAAACAGCATAACTGCAAAACTATTCCTACTGTCGTCCTCTTTCACAGTATTGTAAATACATGTGGTATTTTTCTCTGTCTTCTAATTAAATATCATCTTTGCTCTTCTGGGAACCCTATGTTGATGACAGCTTGGTATCCCACTGTGGTATCTGCGCTGCCACTTCCGAAAAATTGCTCATCAGATTCCTAGAGACATCCTGCTCGAGATACCACAGACCTCATTCATTTCTCCCAAACCCATCTCCTGGGCAGAGCTGCAAGTTTCTCAAGACTGAAGGAGCTTGACTCCTAAAGCCAAAGCTTTCCACTCCAGGGTTACCATCTGGGTCCTGATACTGGCTTGTTCTAGCCTTAAGTAGAGAGTGATCTCTACTTCATCCTTTCTCTTCGAAGTCTCAAAGACATCATGGAATATAACATTTCAAAGCATAAGTTTTGTTCTACATATCCCCCTATTTATACACAGATTCTCTCCTCTCTGCATTAAACTTCCACAGCAAATTAACATACCTGGTGCAATGACTGGTTTGCAGCCAGTGGCAGAAAGCTGGGGACACTTCACAAAGGCACACTCCATATGGAAGCCGTAGTCCGAGAGCACCCCCACAGCCTGGCAGTGTCCATGGTAGTCCACGGCCACGCGGTCGGAATAGGCAGCACAGACGCTGCTGTAGGTTTCCCCATTGTGTCCACACACAGGCTCCACTGACTTGCAAAATGGCTGAAACACACAGGAATGTTTCCAAGGTCAATTCAGTCATGCTACAGAAGCTTCAGAGTAGTTTTAACATGAGGAAAAACAAAGCTAAAGGGAATTCACTGCTAATATTGTCAAACATTGAAAAAGTAGGAAGTTGGGAGTAAATAACCTGCCAGTTTATGAATGGGTCATAAATGAAAAGGGTAAGTATGTAAAGAAGGTACAGAGAAATGTAAGGTGGAATCTGGGAAATGTACAATAAATCATGTTTTGGAAAAGAACAACTTTTGTTCTGCGCTAACATTTAAATAAAATTACCATATATAAATTAACTTGTTTATTAAATTAATTAAAATTACTACAATTTCATCATATTGTAAAATATTTTTTAATAAAGTTGATTTGTCAATAAACATTTTCTATTGTAGTATTAATATCTTAACAACTCATTGGTAATTTATTTATTAATTCATCTTAGTGTGGAGTTGTGTTCCTAAAATTTATTGTGCATGTGCATGTATTTCTAACACATTGTATATTTTTATATATTAGTTATTTACACATTTTATTTATTTGTATGTATGTATTATTTATTATTATTATATAAAGATAAATGCATACACTTACTTCAAAAGAATAAAATCTGTTACTAGACACTTTGTGAGATGGCAATAAACTTAAGCTTCTGAAGTTGAACAGAAGCAAATAGAATTGCTGAACCTCCGCAAACAAGGTATGATTAATGCTTTTGTCCAAAGTCTTGTGAAATGGCACAACTCATTCCATAAGCTCTTGCTTAGGTTAGATATTTTGTTACACCATATTTCAACTAAGTCATCATAGCTGCAGGATCACTGCATAACCTCTAAAAAACTAAGGCAATCCCAGTTCCTATGTTACACATCTAAGCTAACAACAAAACAGAGAACAAGTAAATGTGAGCACTCCAAACAGTTTATCTTGTAATCATCTTCCCTATAAAAGCAACAGTGAAAACTTAGAGGCACCAGTGTCAAAAACTTTGTGAATGTGCATACTAGACATAGATAACTGCTGGAGAAAAACAACAGCCATGCAATATTCCTTTGATTCTTACTGTTCAAGGACTGAACATTTTCTGAGTATCTCATGAGGTATCTGGTGTGCAACAAGAATTACCTGCACTTAATGAGGTTGCTGAAAAAAGAAGGTACAAAGACAAAAGGCAGAAACTAAGAGTGGGTTAAAAGACTAATACAGAAAAACCCTGAAAATATGTTTTGTGCTTCTAGGCATACCCATCAGTTGAGACCAAGAGAAGGTCTCAAATAAATATTCATGATTTGAGAAAAACCTGGAGATGAACAGCCTATCAATGGTAAAGCCAGTGACTTGGAACAGAGCAGCTCCTGACTTATCTTGTAAAGCAACAGAAATAGCTTGTCTACCACCTTTGTAGGGAGCAGTGGGATGGAAAAACTAAACCTAATCCTAATCTTTCTCAAGAATTAATATGAAGACTAATCCAATCCAGACTAACTAAAAAAGTATTACAGACTGCCTATTCTGTAAATAAATCCTGAACAGCGCTGGGGCAAAATCACACAAAAAGACAAAGACTTTCTATGATTGGGCATTAATATATATTTAAGACAACTTCAAATTGGTATAAACTAGCACTAGGAACTGCACTAATTAATGCAAACATACCTCAGTAGCAAAAAAAATAGGAAGAGAAGACTTAATATAAATATCAGAGCATTACCCCAAGAAAGCATAAGCAAAGCTCTTTTGATTGTTTTTGAGACAACTGTTAACTAAAGCAGAGAAACACTTGACAAAATTCTGAATCTAAGTTTGTGAGAGTATTTTTATACTAGCTACAATTAAATTTTTAAATGATTAAGCTACAAAAACCAAACAGAATACTGCAAAAAAACCAATATTACAAAAAAAAAAACCCAACCAAAAAACCAACCCCAAATTGCAACATCAAAGGACAAAGAAGATTTGATATTTATTGCTACTTCCTACCTGGCATGGTCCTCGGTATGCTAAACTTTTTCCCTTTTGGTACAGAGTACACAAGTTACTGTATTCCACATTGTCTGTGTCACAAACAGGATCTCGTGTCTGGTCACAATTTAACTGCCTTGGCACACATTCATGTTGGCTACATTCAAACTTTTCAAAACTAGTCAAGCAAACTTGTTTCTTCGGTATGCACCTGCCAAAAATAATAGTAATTTCTTATTATGTCATAGGATTATTTTTTTTTTTTAAGTCCCAAAATATTCAGGGAAAATACTTTCAGTGAAATATCTCCAGTAGTTTAGAGCTAACTGTGGTTAAGCAGAGCTGCAGGAAATACAAGTGATAAAACATTCTGAATACACAATTTCAGGTCTCATCACGAACCTGGAACAATTTCACACCACGTTTAGTCAATGTGTTCCCACCAACATTTATCTTTTACCGCGTGTTTTTCAATGAATTCTCAATAAAGGCTTGGATAAACTTCTTACCTACTCCCATGCTTCATTTTGTAAATGAATATTTAAGAAAAACTAGAGAAAACAAGAAAATAGTGCAAGAGAAAAAGATTCTGTTGCAAAGGTCTTGTCTCCCCCATCCCTGAGAAAGGAGTAAAAACAAGACCTACAAGAAGATTAAATGGTTTCAATTACAAATATCTAATTAGATGCTAGCTTTGTAGGTTCAGAGTATTGTATCACATCCAATCTTGGGAATGACTGCAAACAAAGGGAAAAACCCAGTATTAACACTTTTTTGCATGCCATTCCTCTGAAGCCTCCACAGACCAGTAAACAGCAGAAATTCTTTCCCCTTTGTATTAAGTATGTACCTTCCATGGTCTTATCTGCAAAAGATTTGCCATAGACCCAGCAAGACATTCCTCTGCTAGAGAAATGCCAGCCAATAAAGCCTGATGAACAGGCTGATAAAAGCTCTAATGGCTTTTTTAAACAACCAATTCCTTCTATAAGGGACAGCAATGCTGCTACCACTGGATTATGTACAATATGTCTTTATTCTCCCTGAGTGCTGCTGATCCTATACATTACATGTATGTCTTTTACATTAGGGAAGACTTAGAAATTCTGAGATTTAAACACTTCACAAGTGGATATAAGATCTTAAATAGATAATAAAATAGTAAAGCGCATCAGGAGCATTTTAAGATGACCATGTCTAGTTTATGCTGCATTGTCAAACTGACCCAGAAAAATGTACTGCGCACAGTCCTTTACTTATAGGACAAGTTGAAGTTCTAAGCATAATGGTATTTTGAAAAACTGGAAAAACAAAACCTCTCTGTATCCTCCAAATTTCAAATATAAAAAGTAAAGAGTGTTTATCCACAATGCAGCTTTGAAATTCCAATTCTGAATGCTGTAATGGGTATTACAGCTACAAAACTACAGTGTTTTCTCAGTAGTTTTCTGCATCAAGGCATTTTAAGTGCAGAAAAAGGAAAAAATAAAATTGCTACAATCAGCTTTCATGAGAGCACAGTATTACACAACTTTTTATGACAGCTTTCTTTCAAAACAGAAAAATGCACAAATTCAAAGGAGACTGCAGTATTGCACAACACTGAGAAAATTGAAGACAGAGACCAATATTATAAGCCACAGCCTTTGATCTCTGTAAGAAAGGTCAGATTTTCTTTTCGCCTGAAACTAGTACAAAGCATATTTTTGTTTTAGTATATTTGTTTATGCAGATTTTGCTTTATTGACTGAATAAGCGAGACTGACTCCAAGTCTGGAATTCAGATGCAGGTCTTCTTCGTAAACTACTAAAGAAGGTGTGAAACAAAGTAGTAATATGACACTTATTGCCATTCCAATAAAATCTGATTCTCCCACTTTTGACAGTATGTATCAAGTCTCTTTTATCGCTAAAAATGAGATCTGCAAAATGAATTTAATTGATATAGCACTACATAAGTGGAACCAAAAACTGGCAGTTATTGCTATGATAAAAAAAAGTAGCTACTTCAAAAGTTATTTTTATTGGAGTATCCCAAAAATACAATGTTCCTACAATATACAACACATTCAAAGAAAACATAAATCTACTTTATAAGTAGAAGATTCCAAAGAAAAGCTTAAAAACATATTCTGCTTTTACCTCTGATTTTTATTACAAGGGTTAGGGTTACAAGGATCCTTGGAAATACATGACCCAAATTCAAACTGATTGTCCTGGAGCCCAACACAACGAGCTATACATGCGCTTGGGTAGGTGCGTCCATTTTGACCACATACTGGCACAAACTGATCCACACAGTTACATGGTAAACCTGGAAAAGCAACACACAGAACAGGAACTTGGTGTACACTCGTTTGCTATGACAGAAGATACACAAGGGGTCACTAAGGTATCTTTGCCTTCCAGCAAAGAGTCTTCAGCCCCTTTGTCCCTCCTGTCCTTTAGCAATGCTGTAGATCACAGGCACTTACAAGTAGCTGGAAGCAAAGTTTGGGCCCTGTCTCCTCGCTGATTCCACTCAGCTTTCTCCATTTTTTCCCCCAAACTCCTTATCTCTTGACCCAGTGGCAATACCCTGTCTCTATTTATTTTTACATATTATTTGACATTTTATTTTTCAGCGTTGTTATTTTTTTTTTAAAGGTATGTGATTTTTCTGCAGTGTGGGTTGGACATGAGAAAAAAGTTAAAAAAACATACTAATAACAAATTATCAGATATTTTACATTAATACTGTAAAAGGAATTAAGCTGATAATCGTTGCTCTAAAAAATATTAAGCTTATAGTTTTCATGGTTTGGAAGTTACCTGTAAACTTCTGACGTTCGTCCTCTGAACTATGCTCAGTTAGGCACTGACGAGTAGAACAAATCAAGTTTCCAGCAAAACATGAACAGACATTGCAATCTATATTAAAGGATGTTCCATGGCCTTAAAATAAATTAAAGTAAATACATACAATTAATGAAAATATACCAGAAGATTACATATTCATATGTACAACATCAATATTACATTTTCATTATTAATTGTTTCTGTAATTTCCCTTATTCAATTTACTTTCCCACTGAAATTTCTAACCTTTTTTTTCCAGATTTCAAGTTTTGCTTTGTTCATTTAAAGGAAAAGTCTGTTCACATGTGGTTGTGATTAATTAGTTAACCGGGGAAGCAAGCCCTTAGTCCTTTCAAAGCCTATATAAATTAGGTTTTTCTGTGTTTTTTTTTAAGAACGATAAATTCTGGCTAGCAAGCTCCATGGTTTTTTAAAGGTAAAGCTTTTTGTAAAACACATTCTTCTGCTAAATTAAATTTACATAGGACTGCTGAACTTTTAGCCATAGTCTCACACAAAG